CCATTTTGGAACCTCAATGAAATTCAGTAAAAATGAAACACAACAAAACAAGGAAAAAACAGAGAAAGGAACAGAGTATAAGGGGGATTCAATTGAATTAAGCTTCCCAACCACGCAACGTTGTGGCTCGAGCGACTCGGTTAACTCCAAGAGTGAAAGCTCCCATACGGAGGTTGCAGGAATGAGTATGGCACATTGACTTGATGTTGTGGAAGGCTCGAGTCATGTACTTTTGCAGCTCCAGGTTCACTTTTTCCTCTTCCCACATGAACCCTTGAATGTTCTGCACCCACTCAAAGTAACTCACCGTCACTCCTCCTGCGTTTGCGTATATATCTGGAAGTATAATCACTCCTTTCTTCGACAGAATCTGCAAAAAAAAAAAAAATCAAACAGATTATGATTAGAATTTAGGCGTTTTAGGGACGGATTTTAGTGTTGGTTATGTTGTTTCGCTGCATTACCTCGTCAGCATCTGGATCGGTTGGATGGTTTGCTGCCTCTACTATGAACTTTGCCTTCACATCTCCAGCATTTTCTCTGAACAAAAAGATTGAAGGTAAAGAATCAGTAAAAGTCGAATCTCTACTCTACGGTTTATGGTTAGATTTGAAGAGTGAAAGTTTTTGTTCTGACTTGTTCAGGACACCGCCAAGAGCGCAAGGGATGAGAACGTCGCACTCATGGATTAGCAATTCTTCTGAATCCATAGCGTCTCCACCGCTGAATTCATTGAGACTTCCAGTTGCGTCTTTGTGTTTCAGAAGAGCCGGGATGTCTATACCTTCAGGGTTCCTCACTGCACCTGTAATGTCACTTACTGCAACCACTTTTCCACCTCTCTCATGGATCAGCTTAGCAGCCCATGTTCCAACATTCCCGAAACCCTGTCACACCGCACAAAATCTCTCAACTTCTCTTTCTCATATTCTACTACACAATAAAGCTTGAGATATGGGATTAGCTACTAGTGATTTTTACCTGAATAACAAATGTCAATCCCTTAATTGATTTCCCATACTCAGCAAGAAGAGCTTCAGTGGCGAAAACTACACCGCGTCCTGTGGCAGCTTCCCTACCAAGTGAACCACCAAGATCCTACACCAAAGTTAAATATCAAATAGCTCAAAACTTTGGTAATCACACAGAAACATCGAAAAATCAAGGCAAATCCATTGAATAACAATCAGACTCAACCAACTTATTCCAAATCTAGAACAAATAAAATCAAATTCACAGGAGCCTTACAATGGGCTTTCCAGTGACAACAGCAGGGGAATGACCATGAAACTTGGAGTACTCATCAAGAATCCAAGCCATGGTTTGAGCATTTGTACCCATATCAGGAGCAGGCACATCGGTATGAATACCGATGAGATCATGAATCTTCTGTGTAAAGACACGAGTAAGTCGCTCAAGCTCGCTCAAACTCAAATCTCGAGGGCTGCATCCAATTCCACCTTTAGCTCCACCGTATGGAATATCTGCTACAGCAGTTTTCCATGTCATTAGCTGAGCCAGTGCGTTCACTTCATCAGGATCCACCTTCAAAACCCAAAATCAAAAACCCATCAAGATTCAATCCAATCCCAATTCCGATCAAAATCAATCAAGAACCCAACATTAAGTTTTCAATTCCAAACCCTAGATCGAGACCCAATGATTCAACAAAATGAGTAAAGACCCTACCTCAGGATGATATCTGATTCCACCTTTCATGGGTCCACGAGCATTGTCGTGTTGAACCCTAAATCCGATGTACGAAACCAGAGTACCATCATCTTTAGGGATCGTGCACTCAACCTGAAATCACAAAAGTAAAAAATTCCCAAAATCAAAAACGAATTCAAAAGTGGGAAACCCCAAAATCAATCAGAAATGTTTGTTTCAAACCTTGATCTCTCTAAAGGGGATCATAAGACTCCTCTCGATCTTCGAATCCAAACCCAGGATTCGCGATGCATGACGGAAGTTCCTGTTTGTTGCAGCTAAAGCATTCATGACTTACTTCAAATTCCAACTCAAAAACGACAAAAGGAAATCAAAGTGATCGGGAAGATCCAAGATTTTAAGAACTGGGGAAAAATCTCCGATTGTATCTGGTGATCGGAGAAATCCACCAATTAGTAAAATGTAAAGAAAAAAAAAACAAGAGAGTTGAAAAAGGTATCGAATCAAGAAGACAAATAAAACGCTAAAACCTAAAAGGTTAAAGCGAGTATTGGGGATTTGTGGTGATTT